GGTGTTAGAGGGTTGGATGTGATGCCAACAAGTAGCGTAGCCAGAACGTTTATAGAGTAAAACATATGTTTCAGGGGTTTATACAGTACCGTGAAAAAAGCTAACCAAAGGGCTAACCACGTAGCCGAACATCAGTCTTAGAAGTTGAAATAAAGGAACAAAAAACCACTATCTTTTTTTTTTAATTGCTCCAGAACTGCCTTGAAAATCTCAATAGTGTCTAATTTTATATTTGAAAAGTTTTCCTCCAGCTTTAGTGGCAGCCGTGACCCTGATGACCCTCCAGGGTTGGGGGTGGGGGGGGGAGGGTTGAAAAGGCTGAAAACATCTGCTGATGATCTCATCTATTCAGAATCAGAACCAGAATCAGAACAGCTTTATTGATCCCTTTAGAGTGAGGGGGTGGGTGTAGTTATTTTGTTTCAAAGCTGGGATCATGTGAAGAAAAGCAAGCGGTTTATACTAAGAATAAAAAATGTTGTAGACTTCTTAAAAAAAAAAGATAGAAGTCTGTAAGAATAATCATCAGCATAAAATCTACGTAGTAAAACACTTAACAGTCGGCCCTCGCTGTATTGTGGATTTTAAATGTGTTCTTTTATTGCAGATTTTTCGCTCCATCGTAGGTTTTTGCGGTGTATCAAAATTTTTACATTTTAAATATTTACAACATTTTCATTATTTTTGTGATAAAATACACATTTCTAGCTTCAGAGGGGAAAAATTATAAAAATTAAAAAATTAAAAGACATTTTGTAACACGTACAAGGTATTACAAGAAGTTACCTGTATGTACGGGTAAACAGGATTTGTGAAAGTTTTGTGCCAGGTTTCCTGCCCTACGATGCCTCTTGGAGGGTTCGTAAAGGGTTAATATATTCGTAAATAATATACAGTAATAACTATTTAAGACATTTTGTAACACGTAAATAATATACAGTAATAACTATCACTTTTGTTTTGCCTATCAAACTAGAATTCTCCGACTAAATTGAACAGTTAATATAACTAGTGGTCTCAGACCAGGGACCGTAGACGCAGGTTACCACAGTCCACCCAGTTTCACCAGTAGCCCTAGGTTGAAGAACTAATTAGACAGTAACTAGTCCCAGTTTGGGAGGACGCCCTCAGCACAATGACCTCCTTTCCACCGGCTTCAAGGAAGTTGACGACGAGGCCCTGCAGCGCTCGGTGGGAACTCACCTCTCCTTCAGGGAGACTCTTTCACTGTGTCGTAAACTCACTCCTGCCATAGGAGACGTTTTTATGAAATATTTTACACAGTCAGGTGAAGGAACCCACAGGATTCTGGGAAAGATTCTGGTTCAGACCAACTGAGAAGCAAACACTTTATGTCACATTTGGGGGAGAAAAACAAAAACAAAATCTCCTTAAATTGTTGTAATTCCCGACCTACCAGGAAGAAAATTCTCCTGGTTTTTGGTTATTAGCAGAGTCATTTGTGTAAACACGGTTGTAAATGAGGTTTTGTGGCGGAGCAGGGACCATAAGTTGCTGTCTCATTACTAGTACTGGTGGGTATTTGTAGTAGCTGGGAGTAGCAGTCGTACTGTTGTTGTGGTGTTTGTCTTTGCATATATTATGCAAACGATTGTGAGTCTTTTCTTGTTGCGTCAGTTTTGACTATAGTACAGTCGGGAGTCGAAGCCTCAGGGCGGCTCTTTTCAACACAGTGTCTACAGACGAGAGTGTGTGTTTGTGTTTTTTCTTCTCGTCTCTTTTTTTTTTTTTTTTTTTGCTTCACGCTAGTTTACCTCAATTTTCTTCAAGATAAAAACCTTTTCATCTTTTTTCCCCTTTAAACCTCTCAGTTTTTTAGTGTCTTCGGCACCGCATCCAAGTCTGGAGGGAAAAGATGAGATGGACTGTGAAGTAAAAAAAAAAAAACTTCATCAGATTGAAGTCAAAATTACATGAATGTACGTTCTGGGAAGTTGCTACCTGGAACTGTTTTTTTTTTTTTAAACTGAGATAAGGATAAATTCTGACTCATGGCTGAAATGTTGACTTTCTTTCTTCTCTGTTTTCTCATCTGTTTCGACCTCATTCTGTCCTTATCAGAGTTTCAGCCGTTTTTGGTTTTGGTCACGAAGGTACATTTTCATTAAGGTGGAAGGTGTTTGCACAGGGAGCTGAAGAAATCACCCCCCACCCATCGACCTACTCCCCCAACCCCCTTCCTCTCTCTCTCTCTCTCTCTCTCTCTGTCCTGGTAAATATAACTATATTCTCATATCAACTCATTAGACAGGGATAGACAGGCAGAGGTGAGGGAACAGGTGAGGAGGGGGACTGTACGGGGGGGGGTGCTAATGTTGCTTAAAGTAAATTCAACAAACAACAAATAAAAAAATAATAATTTCATACCTCAGTGATGTCACACTTCCTGTCTCTGGCGTTAATTGTTTTAGCACCATGCCCACCCATGTGGTTTGGGGTTGGATCCTACTGTAGTGGGCTGCATCTGAGGTGGGATCTGTGTGAGGTTGGCCAGTGTGTTCATGTGTACTAGTCAATTATTAATCAAATGCAGTCCGACACTCACGTGCTAGTAATTAGTACCAGTACAAGCAGTACTTTTACTGTAGTTGTTAAATACCTGACTCTGTTGGTCTTCAGAGTATTACTACAGTACGCTTCAGTTCTAGAAGTCTGCTGTGTCTTGTTAGTGTTGGCGAACTGTTCTGGAATATTCCACTGATTTTTTATTTATTTATTTTTTAGCAAACTCTTCACTTGCCACCTCTGCAAACGAGCAGCGGCTCGCGTTTGGGGGCAAAGGTCGGAAACCTCTGCCCCGGAGCATCAGGTCCAGAATAATGTATATTAAAATTTTGTAGGTGTGAATGGGTCTACTGTGACCCACACTGTGGGATCCAACCCAGACTCGGTGTTAAGAACCTGCAGGGAGTCGTGCCTCACGTTGGCGTTTTTTAAAATTACAGTGTTTAGCCCGAGGTAGTTGTGGCAATTACCTGGCAAACATTTTAATAATCAGTCATAGCTAACCGACCACTGTGGGAAATAAAGTGAAACCTAGAACACACATCCAAGTTACTGTGCTCCACCAATCTGTCTCCAGGGCAACATATTGGATTTTCCACTCTTTTTAGTTTCTACAGTTTGCCTTCTGGGCTCTAGGCTGCCCCCCCCCCCCTTCTCCCCCCATTAATTTACTGATCACTGCAGGAGTCAGAGCCTCGTTTGAACCATACCGCTAATGCCGTCCTCCATGAATGTTATTATGAAGAGAGCAGAGAACAACAGAGGCAGAAACATCATTAAAAGTAATGCAATGGGTTTTACTGTCACCTAACAAAGTAGAAAAACATTTCCTCCTGCGATGGTACAACGGCAATCACTAATAAAAAGAGAAAAAAAGAACAGTTCTGAGAAAAGCAGGAAACGGTAAAAACGGAGGTTTTCAAGGTGTAGTTATCTGTCATCGTTTCCACACAGTGACACTAATGCTTCACAGCAACGCTTTTATTACTCTGTGGAGGTTTCAGAAAGGACTTAATGCTCTCCCATCACACCGCTGCCTCACTGCTTATTGTATTGTTTAAACACAGTGTGAGGCAGCAGATAATGAACGTCCTCTTTTTACCTTCAGCCTGTTTCCCTTCTGTTACCTGGAGGTAACTTTTAATCTTCCGTGGCCAGACAAACGGCTTACATTTCCACAGACGCTCTGGTTAAACACTCCTGAGCAGTGATTTTTTTTTAACTCTTACCACTGTAGTGTAGTACCTAAAATATTTGTCTCGCAAAGTATCACCAGTGGTACCACAACAGGAGTACCACATATGAAAAATCTAGTCCTGGTAGGATTGGTAGTCCATTCATCACACACCTTACACTGAACCTACACATACATAAACACACACACACACACTGGTGCTCATATCACTGGGTTGACCTTTTGACCCCATGATTCCCACTTCCTTTGTGTTGTTTTGGAGCTGTTCACCAAATAAACCTCTGTTGGTGTCGCAGTTTTAAAGAAAATATATCAGATTCCGTACCACTAGAGGGAGCCATTCGTGGTATACTACTGCTCAAAGTTGTCCTTGCATGACTTGGCATTACACTTGGGCTCCCTCTAGTGGTACCGATTTGATCTGATTTATCTGTTGTGAACACTAGCCTAATGTTGCATCATTATGGAAATATGAAAAAAAAAACAATTTTTCGAAATAATTTTTCCTCCTTCATTTGGAACTGAACCTGTGATCAGTTCACACTTGCAGCCAATCAGAATGACTGATTTCACTTGAAACAGATTTGACGCTGCGTTTGCCGCACGGATTGAGTGAATCAGGAGGCGATGAAGTGCGTCAGCGTTAATGTTAGTGTGGCAGAAACAAACAAAAAGACGATTGTCTTTTTAAATGGTGAATTCTGCTTCATCCTTCTGCCAGATGGTGCTAACATTAACATTTACTGTTAATGTGAACTGAGTTACTGCTGCAGAACGTCAGCAGCAATTAGAGGAGAAACTCAATCTGCCGAGAAAAAGAAGTGCTCTTTTATATCACAGTGCTCATCAACTGGCGGCCCGTGGGCCCGATCTGGCACGCCAAAACATCCAATCCGGCCCAGCACTGGAATCCAAAATAAACATATTTAGATGTTAGACAAAAATGTGATTTTTTTTTTGATTGTCCAGCCCCCAAGTTATCTGCCCAGAAAGAAATATAGAAAATATAAAAATATAGAAATACAAGTATTTCAGCTCCTGAAGTTTGAGGTGAGACCGATGAGCAGAGAACAGTGGACTCTCCTCTTTCCTGTCTTTTTACAGACTAGACCACAAAGACCTTGATGTCACTTCTCATCACTAACACATGAAACCAGATGACTCAGCTCGGCGTCTCCACCCCTCCTGAACCCCAGGATGTGTTTATGCCCTTGTTTTGTTGAGCGTTCAAGATAAAAAATGACTTCGAGTTTAAACAAAAACATCTTTGTTTTTTCAGAACATCCCAGCGCTGCCGTGCGGTAAGGCCCTCTACTCCTACGAGGGAAAAGAACCCGGCGATCTCCACTTCTCCAAGGGTGACATCATCATCCTGCGCCGCAAGGTGGACGACAACTGGTACCACGGTGAGCTCAACGGTTGCCATGGTTTCCTGCCTGCGAGTTACATCCAGTTGTTGCGTCCGCTGAGCCAGACCCCGCCGCAGGGCAAAGCACTGTACGACTTTGAGGTCAAAGACAAAGACCAAGACAAAGACTGTCTGGCCTTCAGCAAGGTAACACACACGCTGTGCACACACTCTTCTGAGGAGGCTATTTTTACTCCACACACACACACACACACACAGGCTGCACAGATGTGAGGGCAGGATATACGCAGAAATACCAGCAGTGTACATTCAGAAATAGCTGCCCACACGTATCTGTGGGTAAAAGGCTGGTTCTGTGGAAGATTGATGATTCTTGTACTCGTACAGTACTTCTGCGCAGCATAAAAAAAAAACTGATTTCTACAGTGTTTTACTTCAGGAACTGCAGTTTTTTTACTTAAGAGATTTAATATGGATATAATTTTGTCTCGGACTGTGTCGTTTTCGTCAAAGACACGGTCAACGATCTTCTTTTCTTTAACTGAAAACTAACCTAACATCATATGGGCAGCCAAATTACAAAGACTGATAAAAACGACTAATGATCCAAACATGGACGAGGACCAATCAGAGCTGGTTTCTTCATGTAAACAGGAGGAACTAATCAGGGAGAGAGCCAATCAGAGCTAAGTTTGTCACCTAGAACAGGAGTCCCCTGTTAACGTCAGTTAACTTCAGTTAATGTCAGTTAACGTAGCTACGACCAAACCACGTGTGATCGTGATTGATTTTATTGACCAAAACAACACAGCGAGACAAGTTTTTCAGGTTTGACGTTTTACGCAATTACAGCAATTACCAAATATTCAATCAGTCCTGAATGGAAACCTGGTAAAATGATTAATGCTTTGCAAAAAGTGTTTGTTATTTTTTTCTCTAAAAACAGAAAGGAAAGGAACCTAATGTTAGCCCTGAGATGAGGCACAATCATCGTTCCTTCGAGTTTCAAAGTAAAAAATACAGCTCAGTAAAACGTGTTAGTTCAAGTTAGATTCGAGAGACGTAATGTAAATTATTTTAGTCAACAAAGGACATTAGGAAAATACAGCTCAATAAAACGTGTTAGTTCAAGTTAGATTCTAGAGACGTAATGTAAATTATTTGTCAACAAATTTAAAACCTCTAAAAAATGACATTATTCATCCGTCTTGAAACTTTTTGACCATCCATTTTTTAAGCTGTTCCATTAAAGCTGAACGAAATTATACATATTATCACCATCATGTGGCTCTAGTGTAAACTGATAACTGAAATTAGCGTCAGCAGCAGCTCTTCTCCTGGAACACCAGGGACAAATATCTCTTTCAGTGTTGTCAAGAACAATGCTGCCCCCCCTGGCCCCCGGAGGTATTTCTGCAGCTTCTTATTTCCTCCGGCCGGGTTCAAATTATATCCAGTCTAATGAGGTCATGTGGCCGCCGCGGTGCGTCTGATGGTGTTCCGGTCTCAGGACCGTGTCATCATCACGTCGTGTACTTTCTTCAGTGATGTTTTTGAAATCGCTCTCGAAGTCTGGAGACGGTTGTTGTGACAGGAGAGAGAGTGTGTGTGTGTGTGTGTGTGAGAGTGTGTGTTCAGTGGAGAGACCGGGGCAGAGCACATGTACTGCTGCTCCCTCTGACTGAACACGGCCGCCTGCTAATTAGTGCAGTGTTGTACCGCTGCTGCCCCCACTGATGTCTCTGTTTGATTCTGCTAAGGTCGGCCGCTTTTGGGAGTACGAGTAATTATCCGCTGAACCCAGTGACCCCCCTTTGGATTTAGTCTTTCTTTTTCAGAAATGTAATCTTATTACATATTTAATTGATTACTTAGGGGATGGTTGATATGGTCGGAAAATCACATTGGTCGATATTCTCTGCTCAATCTTGAGATTTGATCGATATCTGGATATCGCCCGACCCTCACCCCCGTAAAAGGGAGGGAAAATAAAATAGCAAAGTCACATACTAGTTAGATAAGTTGCACAGTTTTTAAAAAAAATAATTTCAAAGCGTTGGATACTAAACAAGCATATATCACATAGGGAAAAGACTAAAATTAAATAAAAAATGTTTTTTATTTTATTTAAATGTACACATTTAATAATAAATAAAAACTAAAATTATATTGCTATATCGTAAAACTTTTTCGTTCATATATATGGTTCAACTGGAGGCCCGCGGGATGAATCCAGGCCACCAAACTATCTAATCCGGCCCACAACTGGATTCCAAATCTGTGAGGATCACACGTATTAGTAATCATTTATCACGTGTGTGTGTGTGTGTGTGAACTGGGAATTATGGGTAAAATGGCCCGTCACCTCATAGTGCCTCTTCAGCTTCAGTGTGAAGACGTTGATTGTCTGTTGCGTTGAAACAGAAACTCATTTGTCCTCACACCTGGGTCAAACTAACTGCTCATCCTGGCATCAAACCCCAGTGGTGACAGCATCAAGCTGTGCGGCCACCTTTCTCCCTGGCAGGGACACGGGGACTCACCGGAGGTTCAGTTCAGCAAGATACAGACGTGTCCTTAATGAAAAACCAGGTTCACCTTCCAGCAGGACAACGACCAGGCCAGGATTAAACAGCTGCCGCTCAGGGAGGACCTGTCAGTGTGGATGTCCTTGATTGGCCCAGCTGGAAACCTGAAGTGAACCTGTTTGAACTTCCCCAGCGACACCTGACGTTCCCTGTTCCGTCAGCCGGAGCCTGGGAAGATCTGCGCAGCTGAATGGAGGAAAATCCCTGAAGAAAAAGATTTATGTTAAGTCATATCTGAGCAGAGTTTAGGCTGTAATCACTGTCAGTCAGGCTGCAGCTGCAGCTGCACCGGGAGAACAGCGCCTCCCAGCCCTGTGGAGGACGGCAGGCACTGCAGTTCACTTCATCAACCGCTGTGTTTCATTTTATAACTTAACACTTATTATTATTTTATCCCACCCTGCATTCTACTACGCATGCAGTATAGTCCAGATTGGATCCAGGGTTCTTACACTTTCACAGTTTCATCTGATCCAGGGTTCTTACACTTTCACAGTTCCATCTCCCCCGTCTCTCTCTCTCTCTCTCTCCATCCCTCTCTCTCTCTTATTCTTCCTACCCTGTAATGTCTTTTACTGCAGCACACAAATCTCCCTTGGGGAGTTGTAAAGTCATCTGTCAATGTGCAAGTTGAGGATAAAATTATTAACCCCTATGAAGCAGGAAATCTGCAAGTGCTTTTATACGGAGCCGGGATTTATTTTACTACAGTATTTCCAAGGTCTGCGTATACTAAGAAAGTACTTGTTTTTTCATCCGTGGCACCATCCAGTGATGAATGTTAACAGAGTGGATCTGACACTAAGCCTTTAATTTTCACTTATACTCGTCATTTTAAAATGTATTTCATGATTGGAGCGACCCCTAGTGTTTGCCCTTTGACACTGATTTAGGGGGAAATAGAATCTGATTCAGTCAAGAATTGAGATTTTATCAGAGCAGACAGAGTAGAAGTACATACAATATGAATGAATATATTCAATATATTAATTAAATACAGGACATGTTTTTGAAGCTGATTTTCTTTCCTTCTTTCTTCTCATTGGTTGATAATATGTCATGTGACATCACTATGATGGCACAGTTCAAGGTAACTTCATCAACAACATGTCCTGAACAGGCAGCCTCCCGTCTGCTCGTGTTCTCCTCCTGCAGAGCCATTAGCATCGGCGCTAAAAACAGCTAACCAGACACAGCAAAAACAAAAAGTCAAAAATAAAGCCAACATAAAGGGCTAACCAGACACAGCAAAAACAAAAAGCCAAAAATAAAGCCTAAATAAAGGCCGTCTTAGTCAGAGCACTCTGAGGTGGAACTCTTTGGTCAAAGAGAGGTTGTCTGTGTTTTTTTAAAAAAATGAAGAAAAGGGAGACGTGGAACACAAAGAACAACATCCCCACAGTGAGATGGGAGATATGCGAGGTCACAGGGTTTTGTAAACAAAAGTACGCCACGATGTTTGAGGTTGTTTACAACAATGAACAGTTTTTTTGAGGTTTTTTTTGTTTTTACTTCTTAAATTCACAGTACAGACCGTCTGTTTCTACAGCAATAAATGGACATCGGTGACGTACGTCATGAAGCGATCAGGTGATCAGTGTGTTTATTTGAACCTTCACCTAAAAGACAGTGAACGGTGTTGTTAGCCACAGCTAACAGTGAAGCCGAGCCAGGGTTAATCTGAGGGTGGAGAGAGATGGATCGATCCTGAAGTGTCTGGAAAACCAGACGTGTACTTTGAAAGAGGCTGATGTGATTTGTATGTTAGGACAGACAGCGTGTGTGTGAGTGTGTGTGTGTGAGTGTGTGTGTTGTCTCACTCATTTCCTCTCCCTGCAGGATGAGGTTCTGACAGTAATCAGGAGAGTGGACGAGAACTGGGCAGAGGGCATGCTGGGAGACAAGATTGGCATCTTCCCTATTCTCTATGTGGAGGTAATCCCACACACACACACACACACTCACACACACACACACACACAGAGAGAGAGAGAAAAGGCTGCACAAGCAACTGTGCGGCTGCAGCAGAATTTATCATCCTGCTAATTTGGAGAGGAAGGAAGACATTTTTGTGTCTCTTAGGGAAAGTGTGTTCTGTCTACTTTGCTTTACTGCAGTCTTTATTTGACAGTGTGAAATGTCACCCAGAGCTGGAGGATCGGCGTCCGTGGATCCTCTGTGCTTCACAGCAGAGCAGGCGTTCTGTTCACACATGGTTTCAAAGGTGGTGGTTTTTTTAACCAGACATCGTTGTGTTTTTTCATGGTTCACGGAAACATTTCATTCATAAAGGTTAGTGCAGGCGTCGGCAAACTACGGCCCGGGGGCCGGATGTGGCCGGTTTGGCTTTTAAATCCAGCCCGTCGAACTTGTACAAATTATTTTATTAATTTCAAGTATCGTTATACTTTTTTTTTTTTAGGGATATTGAGCTGAAGCAGAAGGGACGCAGCCATGCAGAGACATTTTCATTTTCAGTATTTTCCACTGAGTGGAAACTTTGGCAGATTTTCTTCCAGTTTTATAGTTTTTCTCTGGTGGAAACATTTTTATTTTAGAAACTTTGGCAGATTTTCTTCCAGTTTCATAGTTTTTCTCTGGTGGAAACATTTTTTTTTTTTATGCCATCTACATGTCATCAGTTTCACGCTGATGCTTCCTCAGAGTAGGGTTCTGTTTTTATTTTCCCTGATGAACCGTCAGACATTTTTAATATTAATGATTTCTTCATTCGTCCCAAAGTGGAAAAAAAAACTGTTCATTTGTAATTTTTATTTCATCAGATTTGGAGGAACGAAGGAGTTTAAAATGAAGTTTAGTGGAGATTTAAAGCAACAATGTGTCAATGTGGGGGGGTCGACCATAGTACGATCTACCAAAGTGAGGCGCTGCAGACATCATTTGGGAGCTGGTGTAAACTTGAATGTTTTTATTTTCCTGTAGGTGTAGAACATGTAATAGTGTTAACTGAAGTTCATACAGAAGAACTTTAACTTTAGGAAAATAATTATGGGATGCACAGACGGGCATCATCTGAGTGTCTGTTGTACATTTAATCCCTTCAACTGTAAAATTGCAGCAGAAATGCAAATTGGATTAGAGGGACACTTTTAATTCAGATGTTTCTCTGAGGAATTTTCTCTCTGCCGTGAAGACGCACCTCCCTGAACATAACGCCGTCTTTCACCATGCCATTCCTGTCAAGCCTGGAATGACGCTTCCTTTAATCCTCGTGCAGCTGAAAATCATATTATGCACATTTTGCTCCTGGTTTCCTCTGAGGACATGGAAAAATCACAGTAGTGGAAACTGGAAGGAATTGGTGTTTTTTGAAAGATGGAAAAAAAAAGAAAAAACCGTTGTTGTTGTTTTTGGATTTCTCTTCTTCACTCACCACAAAGTTTGTGAATAAAAGGGTTCTCCGGTGGCCCTGTGGAACCGGGGGACGAAACCGTCCAAGGTGACGAGTGGTTCCACATCCTGGCTGGTGTACAGTACACACCGTGTAATAATAATAATAATAATACTGTAGGTTAGAGAGAGTCATTAATGTGGAGACCGTGGAGCGAGAGACAAAGACAGGCAGAGAGAGAGAGAGAGTAATGGCATGACTCATCCTTCATGCTGCTCTCAGCCATTAGTCTCTATTACTGCTCACCTCCTATTAAGTCGAGAGGCATTCACTTACCGAGACGTAATTATAAAACAAAACTTGTTAATATTTACGTCCATAAACGTGTGTGTCCATAAAAATCGATGTTCTGCTGTGAGTCGTCTGTAATCACGCCACTCCCCGTGGTCTCCTCCTCTCCTCCTCTCCTCCTCTCCTCCTCTCCTCTCTCCTCCTCTCCGCCTCCCCTCCTCCCCTCCTCCTCTCCTCCTCTCCTCTCTCCTCCTCTCCTCTCTCCTCCCCTCCTCCTCTCCTCCTCTCCTCTCTCCTCCTCTCCGCCTCCCCTCCTCCCCTCCTCCTCTCCTCCTCTCCTCTCTCCTCCTCTCCTCTCTCCTCCCCTCCTCCTCTCCTCCTCTCCTCTCTCCTCCTCTCAGTGGGTTTACAGCCCAGTTGGACTCTTTGTTTATCCAATCATGTCCCTGAAATTAGCTTCTTGCCCAAAATGACTCTCTTAGGCAATGGTGATTAAACTTAACACACACACAGGAGTTCCTATTAAACAAAGATCCATCAATAATTTAGAGATATCCATTACTCTGACACAGCATGTTTGTGTTTGTGTGTGTGTGTGTGTGTGTGCGGTTGTTAGGCAGACTCAGCTGGACTCCTGCTGCTCTGTCCCTCACTGTCGGTCACTGTCGGTCACTCAGTCGCTCATTGACAAACAATGTTATGATGTGAATGAAATCAACCTTTTTATAGACCAGATGTTCCCAAACCCCTGGGTCCCGGAACCATAGCTGAGCATGGGTCATTTGGCCCTGTTATTTTTGTTTGTTTGGTTTTTTTTTTGTTATTGATTATGGGAATAAAATATTCTGGAAAAATGACTAGGTTCTATCCCAAAACAAACATGGAGGATGCTGCTCAGAATAAAAGACTTTCAAGAACTAGAACTAGAACCAAAAACATGTGATGTTCACTGTTATGATTAGTTTTACTAGATATTATTGTATTGAATATCTTTATGTGACAGGTATTTTCCATCTCTCCGGAGAGCTAGCTGATTAGCTGATTAGCTGATTAGCTACTGGTGTATGTCTTTGCTTGAAAACATACTTTGTCCTTAAACTCATTTTACCTCAAAATATATATATATATATTTCTTCTGACCCCAGTGTTTCTGCTGCACAAACACACACACACACACACCTCCTACTGGCCGTGTGAATACATGGCCAGGCATGCGTCTTGCCGCCTTACCCTTTTCACAGAGCAGACATAACCCCCCCCCCAGAGAGAAATCATCCTCCAAAAGTTGCACACCTCCTACTGTACAGTTAGCTGGAAACACAGTGTTGGACCTCGGAGAGTTCATGCAGCCAAAAAGCAGTAAATGAAGAGTTGTTGCTGTCAACAGCATCTCTCTGTCTCTCTCCCCCTCTCTCTCTCTCTCTCTTATCATCGCTGCAGCAGGTCCAGGCTCTGTAACATTAGTAGTTAAAGACAAACTGACACAGCAGTCAGTGATGTGTGTGTGTGTGAGAGAGAGAGAGAGAGAGAGAGTCCAACCTCTACGTCCACGAGGTAAATGTTACTCTACTGGTTCTAATCTGAGATTTTTTTTTTTGAACAGTGTGTCACCTCGCTGACCTCACATGGGTGTGCGCGCACGTGTGTCAACATGCACGTCTTGCTCGCCCTCCAGTCAGTCTCACGAGAGTTAACGGAGTAATGTCTGCATTATCAATCCATCAAGCTCATTAGCATATGGTTGGGCTTTGATTAGCATATCTATTAATATGGAAATGAAACATCGCGGTTTTGCTCTCTCTCTCTCTCTCTCTCTCACACACACACACACACACACACCCATGCACAGAGACAGAGGCTGGCGTTCTCTTTCAGGATTGTTCGGCAGACTGAGCTTTTGTAAAACAGACATGATTTTGATGTAAATGAGGTCTGAACTCCATGTTGTTTATCAGCAACATATTAGTTGTGTCACTGTGTAGCTCTGGCCTGCGTGTGTGTGTGTGTGCGTGTGTGAGTGTGTGTCTATTCCTGCTTTATATTCATGGACCAGAAAAAGTTTACTCCGACCACGGTCCTAAAAGAGTTTAATAAAAAAATGGCCGACTTTGTCTGGTCATCGGAGAAAATTCTAAATTCTAAATTTCAGCCCGACCGATATTATCAGCTCGATATTAGCATATTATGTCTGTAAAAAAGTTATTGGTTTTGTCCTCTGATAATGATAACCCGATAACGCAATGCCAGGGTTTCGCTAAAATGATGTGTGCCCTAAAAATAATAATAATTTTGGGGATAAACGGCTGTATATTAAAGTG